TATTTTTTTTAAATTTAGTTTCACTTCAAAGGTAGCCGACATTGATTGTGATATACTTCCACACCTTTCGATCTAGTGAAATTTGTTTTCTTACAGGATTTTTCTAATCTTCTTTAGCATCGTTTATATCGATTATAGCGCTCCTCCTGCCTAATTTATATTCAGCTTGTGTTTTTTCATCACGCCCTGTGCTTAATATCGCAATTTGTACCGTAGTTGGCGTAAGCCAGGGGACCTGTCACCTTTACTCTCGGACGCCGTCTTCCCTTACCAATGCCTATTTTATTGTCCGCTTACACATAAACATCTTAAGTTTACGACTTTTTTTATATACACAAATCAGTCATTCTGAGTAATAAACTAATTATTAAACGAAGAATGGAAGCGGGCTGTATCCCGCAGTCTGTAAATAAGTAGGTATAATTATGAATCGGCGGTCGGCTCTGATTTATAAGAATGGTGACGTTCGATGACAAAATTATGTTCCCGTCATAATGTTTCTCGTATGGGATGCCATCCATGATAATGAATACTTTTTTCTGATGGACGTCGCCTGGCCCGTCTGCATGGGCAGTCGGTACGGTCTGACATGGCACGCATCCATTATAAATATGATTAAAAATAATTCTACAACACGTAATAAAATGTTTATTACAGATCATGAAGCAGTGGCAAAGAATATATTGTCAAGTAAAACAAACCTGTACCTTATTAAAATTACAAATTAAAGTTCTTTTATTTTTCAATTGCCTCTAATTTATTGGGTTAAAATAAATCTTATTTAGATACACAGGTAAGTAAATAATGCCACAAGATTAAATGTACCTAAATGTAGTCAATGAAATGGTTCTTATATTGAATGTGTTTTACTTGATAATTTATGTATTACATCCAAATATGATGAAGTATGATTACCTATGTAGCACTTATTAGGTATATAAAATGTGAGTGGTGCAATTTAAACATAATTCTCTCTTATAAATTCTCTAATCAGTATTGAGGGCACTCAAAAACCGTGGCGCCGCAGATCAATTAGTTCCAAGTAATAAACAAAGCAAATATTCTTGTTATGAAAGGAATCTGGCTCGCATTTCTTTGGTTGCATCAATCAAAATCATACTGATAATGAAATCATCATTTGGGTGGCCATAGAGAAGTTGATTCTAAGAATTTTGTCTCCACAAAGCATCTCCAATGTGCATCCAAGTCATTATCACATACCTGATTTATTAATTAGTTGTTAGATGTTCTGCGAATGACATCGATGAGAATTGGATAGCCTAAAGAGAATTAATAGCAAATTATAATAATGCTTATTTCAGCTGACTGAATGGTGGTGAGATTATAATGTATAATAAATAATAATAGCTCATAAGAGATTATTATACAAACAGATTTTTTTTTCCTAAAATTGCGACGAAAGTACCTATTTTATATACCTATCCATGCTGTATCGTATTCTAGTATTTTTGAGAAAATGTGGACAAATCACGTTCTACTTTCACTACAATGGCAACAGGAGATTATTATCTCTAACTCTATCTAGGGTTCATTATCATCATTTTGATCGTTAACTGTCTACTGTTAACTTAGGCCTCCCCCTATTGGGGGAGTTTTGCCAGTAGTTGCCACGCTTGGCAGGAGGTACCACAAGAGCAAGAGCAGTACAGTCCTCGACTGTATCATACAGTGGGTACTTTGTCTCCTCCAACCATAACTGAAGAAACCACAGTGAGCAACATAACAAATACAACGATACCTTATTGTAAAAGTTCTAATATAGATATCAGTACTACAACTACATTGGGTTCGAATCAAACAGATGGAAGCGCGAATGGAACGAAAATAGCAACAACGATGATTCAAGGAACACCTTCTGTACCGCAGTAAAGAGATTTCAATGTACATAGTTTCTTTTTCTGAATAATTATTAAGTCACACAAGGATTTTTTTAATAAAATTAAAATTTCATATTTCTCGGTCTAAAACCAATGACTGGAAACTGAAACCTTATTAAATAAAGTTTATTATCATTTATTATTTATTATAGTGAATTATTTTTAATCTCAATTCTTATTTTATAAGTCGAACATGTTTCAAATATATTTATAAAAAAATATTAGTTTGTATTAAATAAAATAGAACAATTTAAATTTGTTGAGAGACAGTTTATAAAAACATATACATTAATATTTATTTAAAAAAATAGTTGGGTTTATCTAGTAAATACTTCTCTTTCTTATCTTTTAATATATTAGAATAAATTTAAATATATTTTAATATTTAAATTTATTCTAATATAATTCTAATTGATATAATACTGCTTACTTTAGAAATTAGTCAGTGGTAGGTACAGAGGCAAGTCATATACAAAACTCTACCACGAAAAAAGTCAATAAAATGCAATAAATAAACATTGTCACGATTGCACTCAAAAATTTTTATTTATACAATTTTTTATTAGAATGGCAAACAAGCTGATGGTCCACCTCGTGAAAAATGGTAACAGTTGCCTACAGACATGAACAGTACCATGGACATAACAGAGTATACTGTGTTCCTCATGATACCCATGCATGCAGGCAAGGCATGCACCATTCCTGAGGACTACGGTGTTATGCTTCTGTATCCTGTAATTTGATTGCCATAACCCACCCTTTAAACTGAAACACAGCTAAGAAAATACAACTACTTCACGGCAAAAATACGAATGGAACAGACGTATTCACTTGTTTCAAACACACGACTTGTACAAAGTCTCCCTCTGGTAAATTAACAATTAAATGTTATTATTTATATATTAATATTATTACATAGTTATATTACACAAGAATACATAACACAGAAAAATATAAGTGGAAACTATCTTATTTCTTGATCGACAAGTAATAAGTTTTTAATATAAACTTTGGTTAGAACTAGAACTTCGATTAAACAACTTCTCAAGTTCAACTATGTATATTTGAGCGATTTGTTTTTGTAAAAATCGAGCTTCCAATAATCATTATGCATAGATAATATGAGACGATTGAGTGTTGAAAATAACATATAATATGCTGATTGCCTGTATCAAGGAAAGTGGTGACCGTTGTCTATATTTAGGTATCAAAGTGTAATCACCACAGATTTCTATGATACCTATTGTATGTCTCATAATTTATTGTCCAGCTTACAACTTTGTCTAAGAGAAGTGCCCTTAGGCAAATTGAAAAGAAAGATATGTTTTCGCTACAGTATATTTGTACCTTAAGTAGGTAGATAGAACAAAACAACGATATCCAAGTATCATGCGAGTGGAAAACGAATCTAACGTCAGTAAGTTTATAAACAAATTTATTATAAGACAAAGTTGTCTCTATATAGTAGATACGTAATAAATTAATATTCATATGGTAGATACTAATCCAGGTAGGGGGAAGGGATTGTTAAGAATGCGGACAACCAATTCCATTGTTAGCAATATACCCATTTTTTTATCGGTAAAAATGGAGTAGTGACCCCGCCTGCGCTAACGGGATACGCTGCCGGAGCACCAGTGAAAGGTGATCGATGAGAGTGAAAACAGGCCAGTTAGCCCATCATGATGAATTCATCAGGAATTAACCATGACAGTTTCCAGGGGGAACCACTAGGAGGTCGACCTGGTTGGGTGCATTGCTAGCAATGGAATTTTTAGTCTCCATTACTAACAATCCCTTTTCCCCCAATATACCCTATAAGGTTCACCTCCACGTGGTCTCTCCTGGAAGCCATCATTCTGAATTCCAGGTGTATTCATATCTATGCGTCAACTTACTTGCCTTTTCATTTTCACCTATCATCCCTCACCCCATCAGCATATACCGTTAGCAGCAGGCGAAGTTACTATTCCATTATCAATCATTAACGTATCCATGTATCTGTATATATAAATATTTGGAATATTGGCATAATCTTTGTTTGACCATTAAAAATTTTTTTAATCAATTTAACGTTAATTTAATAGTTTATGAGAGAAAGTAAACTGTTAAAAGGTACATATGGGTAGGTATTAATTACGATTTATAAATACAAATATTTTAATGTTCATAGTTGTTCTATGAAAATGTATTTAATGGGCCATTAATATTTTTTAATCAGTAAGTAAGAAAGATTCCAATTTGTTCCTACCTGGCCTGGCCATGCTGAATTTTGTATTTTGGTTTTTATTTATGCAATCACTTATAATATGTACATTTGGAGTTCCTGTATCGACGACTGTGGGTGAGAATGTCACTTAGTATACACATAAAGTTACTTATTATATACAGTGACCTAGTAGCTGAACATTTGTAAATACAACTATTGGCAAACCGCCCCAAGGGGAAGGCTTATATTCAGCAGTGTACACTTAAAGGCTGATATGATAATGATGATATTATTGGCGATTATAACATAAAATTTTGTTGGCAAAATATGCCTATAATAACTATCCAACCTTATGATACGCTTACAGGGTTCGCTTACAGGGTATCTATCCTGTAAGGTCTATGTACTGTCAACATCTGTCATACATCTAGAGAGAATCCATATTTTATCTGACCGTAATTATTGCGTTGTGTTTTGTTTTAGGTGAAATGACTTCGAATATATTGCAAAATATAAATATATCATCAAATAGTAAGTATTGAGTACCTAATAAATACTAAAATTGAAATAAATAATACCTATTCACGACGTTATCCGCAAAATTATTGGTAGGTTCATCTAAAATGTGACGTCACTAATAAATGTGACATCATATAATATGTTGCACATAGCAATATTTATTTTTGTATTTTTGTCTATCCTTTAGTTAAACATTAATGTTGGATGTATATTTAAAAATGACACTGTTTTGTATTATATATATGTATATACAAAAATTAACAGATGTTGACAGTTACATAAAATTGTAAGTTGACTGTCTGTTATAGATATTAATAACACCAGTGAATACTATAGAATTTTTTATTCATGCACCTATTGCCATTCCTGAAGGTATGGTGTCCTTTATGTTAAAGGTTAAGTATATCATTCTCCAGACATTTCAACGCAGTCATTGATATTTTACAGTAGATATAGATATGATAATTCGTTAAGTTTACATTTGGCAATATATATTGTCAAATATAATAATATATAAGTAAATATGTATGTATGTATATAATATATAAGTAAATATGATTACACTGTACATTAAGTTTAAATAATAAAATATATGAAATAAGTAATTGTAATAAAATTTAATATTATTGTAACATAATATACAACAGATTACTCTAACTGGTCCTTTACTTTTTTTAGACAATGCAAGTGAGGCATTACGTTACGGGTTTCATCAGACCCAACAATGCAATAATTTCGAGAAAGCATTTTTGTGTATTAGAAAATGTTTAGACTTCCGTTATGATGTTGCTTTTTCCGATAAGGATTGCTATTGCACTTGTTATATCAAAAAAGAGAAGGGAAAATATAAATATCTTGGCGCGGTAACACAGTGGAAGTTGGGTGCCCCCACAACTAAAATGCCAGCATGGGCACTACCGGATAACTCTCTATTCGTGAACCATCAAGAGGATGAAGCTATTGGTGCAGAATTGCAAGGAGATAATTTGCATGGAGATAAGCCGGATGGTGACAATGATGATAACACCGAAAATCATGACAATCAACATAATAGTACCATCGGTAATTCTGATGTTCAACATAATGTTAATGTTACTACTGCTGTTACGGTGGATAATAGTACTAATGCAGATAATATTAAAACTGATTTAACTAATACAGCAAGTGATAGCGCTGTTAACGGTTTTGCAGACACAACTGTGGCTTCTGTAAATCAATAATAATAAAATATATATGAATGTAAATTTAATTTTAATAATGTCGACTTTTCCCATAATCTGTCTTCTTCCATATTACATAGAATAAAAAAGAAGATACGTAAGAATGTTCTTCATTTTACGGAGTAGGTAAAAAATACAACTGATGATTAAAATATTACATTTCTATTATATTTCTATACAAAATGTTAGTGCAAGATATTCTTCTCATATAAGCATGATATAAACTCGTTAGATATTCTAAAAGATCTAGTAGATAAAAATAAAAAATAGATCTAAAGAGGCACAGTGTATAGCTATTTAGATTTGAAGTTGTGGTTTGATGCATATATAATTTCCAAATGAAACAATAAAATCGTCATTTGAGCAAAATTTCCAATAAAAGTAAGGCTGTTTAAATTCCATGGAGAAAATTAAAATCTTTTATTTGGAAATACTTTCATGTATGTTTGATAACAAATAATATTGTTTTTCAAAATATTATAAATAAAATAATATAAATGGCACCGGTGTCAAAGTATTTAATGGAACAAGTAAACATTTATTATACATAAAAATAAATATACGCATTGACCTGATTTTCTTTTTTCAATAGGTTATTATTATTTATAACGTTCTGTTTAATTAATAATATTTATTCGAAAGTATACATAATTAACAGAGATAAAGCAAAGATTGTAATAACAAAATAGATATAAAGTACAAAAATAAGCATTATACTTTTTAATACATGATAAATTGTAAGTAACATTTACTAGCAGTGTAGCTTTAAACCGCTAATAAAATTTATATTCAATGTATGCTATATTTTTTGTGAGAAAGCCACAAAAAATATAACTATAAGTACAGACAGCCATTTTATTAGAACTGCAATCGATTCTCACAATCTGATACGTAAATCACTGTATGTGATGCGAGTTGAATATTTACGAAGACTAAGTGAAATAATTATCAATATATTTTGCGTAACGGCCACATTAGGGAAATAACTTCCTCCTTCTCATGGAATATTAATCTTGATACATGTTGCTGACCAAGTAACTTTTGATGGACAATATATCTAGGTAAATAAGAGAATCTGTCAGATGATGTCTTTTCATGGTAATGAATGTGGTAAACAAGCATAGAAGCCCGTATGATGGTAAATGGTTGTTGTAGTGTATGGACGCCTGCAACATAATATTTTTAAATTTATATAAACAATTTATCTTATAATAATCTATTTAAAAAAAAAAGATTATCTGACACATCAATATATACTCGTAATTAACCATAATTGGCGAAAATAAGAATTAGGATGCTTTGAATAACACACCTAAGCACTAAGATTTCTCTAAATTTATATCGGAACATAATTTAATGGATTTCCCCTTGGATAACGTCATGGGAAGCATCTAGTTTATTTTACAAAAAATATATGTTATAAAGTAATTGTAATATGTTTATCAGTTTTGAATTTTGAAGCTCTGTCAGCTTATTTGCTATATTCCTAATAGTATAAAAAAATTAGGAACTAATATTTAAATATCGCACTAATGTAGCGTCCAGTATTGACGGCCCTCGGGGTCGAGCCGTCGATATTCATATTCGGTGTGGCGTCTCTTGATCGAGTGCCGAGCTCTCCGAGCTCCTGTACACACATCAGGATTATTACACACCATTTTATTGTGAGGTTTGCACACACTGGATGATCCCGACGCCATTGCCGATTCCATTGCTGATGTGGTGCTTCAGGGAATGGAATTATTTATTCCTAACTCTGTGGTGCCCGTCGGCGGGATCCCAATATTTTAGAACAGCATCTCTGAATAAATAAATAAACAAAAAAAAATATTATGATAAATGCATTAATGTTGCAAATCGTATTGAAAAACAAGAATTTATAAACATTTAATCAATATTTGCCTTAAAAGTTTCTATTATTATATATAGATCATAGCTTTGGACAATAAAATTTATAACTAAATTTTGTGGTGAATATAGAACCTCCTTTTTACGGAAGATTAAAAAAGAAGGTAGTTAAATTGCGGCAAAGTTAAACGTTGGATATCCTCCTTTAAATTTGTAATAATATTAGTCGCTATTTTTTTGCGAAATACAATATTATAACTTAAAATATATATTAGTAACTGTTTAAGATAGAAAAAAATCAACTAGTGTGATCTGCTTTCCGCAAGGGTGGGGGTAGGTATTCGTAAAACTTTTTTATGCAATACCCGAGAGGCGATTCGCGATTGACGGCTATGACGTATCGTCGTGATTTTTTACCGACGTACGCTGAACATATTTTTGCTTTTATATCAATATATCAATTTACTTTGTACTATAATAGACGTGTTTTAGCAAAACTATTCTATCAAGCACTTACGATAAGGGTAAATGTTGTCATACTCTTACTTATTTATGATACACTAGCTTTTTTCTGCAACTTCATTTGCGTGATTGAAACATGTTGATTGATTGGGACGAAAAGTAGCCTATACCTTTTTCTATTCTAAATAATAAAAGTATACCAAATTTTATGACAATTAGTTGAGCTGTTAAGGTGCCAAGAGGTAATAATAAAAACAAATTCACTTTCATAGTTATAAAATTATTAAGAGTATAGTCCTATACTGACTAGACTGAATAATTAAATAAATTGAACTGACTGAATAATTTTTTCTATATTAAAGAAACGCATTTGAATAAAAGTGTGTTACGAGATTATACATTATTTTAAAATATTGCATCTGTTATTTCGTTGCCTATCATAATAACATAATCTAAAAAATAATGTTGCTGTATGCATTATTTTAAAAGTTTTCTGTTACACATTATAACATAATTAAAAAAGAATTTTGCTGTATCTATGGAGCAATGATTTATCTATATGAAAGTCGTTCTACTATGATACCGCTATAAACCATTTTTTAAGCTATAATGATATATCATATATAGGTAAGCATAAACAAGATAAGGATTGAACGGACTGTCTCTATTGATAATTTTGGCTCTTTGTCACCGGGGGTTAGGCTTATAAATCTCGCGACTGACCCTCCCTTATGGCAGTATTCAGATACAAATACGATAGTGGGTCAGCTGGGGATGGACACAATAAAATTTCGATTGTCGATATTTATTAAAGATTGACCCCTCCAAACAAAGCAGTGATGCAATAATTTTGATATGAGTAAAATAAATGTACAGTACACCTTCTGTTTTCATTTGTTTTTAGAATATAATATATTGTGATGTGCCATATGTGTATATTGCGAGTAGATTTGATGAAAATATAAAGTATAAAGTAATTTTAACTCAAAATTAATTGAATTTGTCCATGTGATTGTGATAAATTAACTAACCGGGATAAAAATAGTCTATATTCTACCGTATTTGATATAGTACGTATATATTAAATTTCACAGTAATTGTTTAAGCCGTTAAGGTGCTATAATGTAACAAAATAACAAACTCACTTCAACATTTATAACATTATTAGTAAGGATTAATAACATCAAAATAAATCGGTTTTCAAGTTCATTTAATAAACTTTATTATATAGATGTTCTTCAATCTGTCCTCGTTTTTTATCGTAGGTAATACTTATTCGTATATACTGTACTTACTTTTTATATTAATCTCTTAGAAACGCTAACTACATCTATTAGTACCACACTTATTATATATAGGTAATAGGTAATAGGTACCACATTTTTTAAAGGGATTTGATTATTATACGCAGACGAATTAGAAAAAAATAGAATACTTAAATTATAACAAAATAAAGGAATGTTCTCAGAGAATCCGAAATGGATGGACGTCTTGCTAGGATAAGACAGCTAATCCGAAAAATATACTTTGATTAAAGATTAATTTATTTCTAATAAAACGCTTCTGGTCGCTCTTTTATCTGTCTACACACAATCGGGGGAGAAACAACAGAGGAAGGCAAACAATAAATCCTCCTACATAAAAATTGCAACAACTTTCTTCATAATGCCGATGGAGGCATCATCAAAAGTTGGTTCGCTTCGCACCCTCGCGCCCATTCGTGCAGAGATTACCAATAAATCCAATACGGGATAATTGGCCGGCTTAATTCTGTTCTATCTTTCTACTTAGTTCAGTCGTCAGAATGTGCCAGCTCAGGTCCCCCGGGAGCGTCCAGTCGTGAGTACAAACACCGTCCGTTTGCCAAACAAAAATCACACCTTATATATTACCATAAAATCTACTTTCTTGTGACAAATATGAAACAAAGCGGAATCAATGCCAAATGAAGAAAGTTGCACAGTTAATGAGGTATTTTTAGTTTTATTAGCCAGTAATTATTATCAAGTAATTAAATTTAGAAATACCTAATTAAGACCAACTATGCTCACTACTGTACCCTACCCAGGATATATGCACTTACTAGTATTTAACAGATCCTAACAATTTATCATAGGTCATGAAGTACTTTAAAACTCGATAAATATTATTTACTATGTAACGTCGCTAACATTTTCAGTGATTTATCAAAATTCTATGGCATAAGATTTTGTAATTGCATAACAATACATTATTTCACTTTTTGGTGTAAGCCTTGTATAGCTATATTGCTTCGGATGAGAAATACATAAATATATATAACCCTCTAAGCGAGAGAATTAGCCAAAAAAATATTGTAATGAGATTTAATATTGTTGTTAGATAAATAAAGGAAGAAAAATAATAAATAGCAATTATATTGAAAACTAGTTATAAATATTTTGTTTTTCGTCTACGATGACTACATATGTAGTATATAGTAGGTATCATTTTTGAGTAGGTTATATGAAATATATTTCATGACTCGTAAATTTCAACGAGTGACACATGTCGGACAGGTGTCGCTTTCCCTGTCATCTAATGGATGAGTATTATGGAGTCAAGGGGTGGCAGCATTTGATATTCCCATCAGCCGGTGGCCCCCGGGAATGCTGTGATGTGATTCAATAGAGATGCTGTTTTTATAAACATCCAGATATGGGAAATACTCTTAGATAAATCGATGAAGAGTTGTATAGTA